CCAGGGAAGTCAACTAGAAATCGATATTTACCCATGTTAACTTGGAAGTTGCAAATGAAGTTGGCTTGCTCGGCGCGGCTAAGGTTTTGGTCGGCTCGGTTGAGCAAAGCCGCCTAGGGACAGGGTGCAAAGGTGTGCCTGACCAACCTAGTCAAGTATGCAAAGGGGAAATAAGAAGTGTTATGCTCAGACGACTGGACTGAGCTAAGTAAATAGTCAATTTACAGAAGAATAGTAAAAGCTTAGCTCGACTACATCTGGGTGACGAGGAGCTCTCAGTTCGGTTGAGAAGAAGGGCCAACTTAGGGCCCCTAGCTCGGTTAAAGGTTAGTATGCAAGGTTTTAATCGATTTCTTAGTTCGGTCGTGTTCAAGCCTAAAAGTCGCCTAAACAAATACGTAGTTCGGTTATAGCACGACTTTGGATTAAACATCATGTTTTTTTAATCCAATTGGTGCGCTTTTGGGCTTGAGCATAAAGTTTTGGGTTTATGGTATTTGCTCAACGCTCTAGTGTATATAAACACGCATATATGGAGATTAAGTACTGAAAGTATAAGAATAAATAAAAAGGAACATTAAAAAGATGTACTAAACAAACTTACCAGTCTGAGCGTGTATAAACCCACTAGCAATGGAGCAAGTGTTGCGTTAAAATCTGGAGCACAAAGGGACACAGAAGCAGAGGCAGGTCTCAGAAGCACAGAAGTGAAGAAGATGAACAGTGGGAGTGAGATTCAGAAAATGGGTTTTTGAATAGGCGTAAAAACGGTGAGACTTTTCAAATGTTTTTATGATAAACGTGGGACGGCTGTTGCAGTTTGAAGAATCAATAGACATGTGCCACGTGTCACAGATAGGACATGGTGTCAGGTACGTGAAACGACGGGTTGTGGCAGGTACAGAGCTGAAGACTGAGCTTAGCCATCTCAGTGGGGTTGAATATTTTGTTACACAAATAAGTGGCTAAAGCTTGGGCTTTTGTACGAGCATGAAATAATCTTCTCGTATAATCTTGTTGATCAAGTTTGCACTCCTCCAAACGTCGTCGCCTTACTACCTGAAAACACAAACGTGAGCTAGCCAGCAGGTGTGTGCCGGATACCTCTCCGATGCCTAAGTCAGCAGGTAGACAATAGACAATAGCTTTGTGTATTTGAGAGTAGAAATTGAGATAGCTGTCCATAGGTCATGTCATGAGCTTTTATAGATTCTGCCTGCCACAATCCTAGTAATATTTCAACTCTCTTTATAAGAATCTTCCTAGGAATCACACTCCCAGTAAAGAGTGTCTATCTTGATAACACTCTACTCACTACTAACCAAGTGAGATGGTTTGCATAATCCTAGTAGGACTCTACTCTCTTTAGCAGAGTCCTTCACGAGTCTTAAGCCTAAGGATAATACTTATCCTTAAAACATCCTCATCACTGCAAACTAAGTGAGATGACTGAACCCTTTACCTCGGCTGACACTGTAGTCAACCAAGTTACTTCGGCTCCGTGCTCAACATGGGTAAGCCGTGATGACCCTGCTACAGGTAGGGGTGTGCGCGGTGCGGGTCGGTGCGGTTTGAAAGAAAAATAGAAACCGTATGGCGGGTGGCGGATTGATAAAAGTGTCACTAGAATTTGCCATTTTTCTTACCAAAAACCGGCGGTTCGATTGGCAAATAATAACGAATTTGCCTTGGCGGTGCGGCTCGGTGCGGTTTTGGCGGTTTCGGCGGTATTATGCACACCCCTAGCTACAGGTTAGCATCCTGCTGAGCTATACCCAGCTTGGCCCATCGCCCTACTATCATCTCGGTCAGAAGGTAGATAGGTCCTAATTCCAACAACACATCCAACCGTCCTGGTACCTACCTCGGCCCAATGCCGAAATATAAAATATCTCCTTGGCCCATTGCGCAACTTAACTTCCAAAGAAGACTCGTTCTACCTCAACTAAATTTGTTCACAAATTACCCTCTCACCTTATAAATCATATATTTGGTTCAAAACTTGTAACTTACAAGTGAAGAAAGCGAGAGTGACAAATGTCACTTGTTGGTACCCTTAACATGCTTTTTTAGGATAATTCGATATATGTTGTAGTCAAAATCAAAGATCCAAAAATTAAGAAGATACATGTGGTTTCTAAATTCTAATGCATGTATACCTAACAATCCCACAGACAGCAGACCAATCAAAACCCTACCCTACATATTTATGAAAAAAGCTTCATACCCCCACTGGGGGTCGACCCCAGTGAGGTGTCGGCCCCGAATTGGTCCAAAAAAAAAAAAATTGTTGTTGTTTTTTTTTTTTTTTTTTTAAGTTTTCAGCCAGTGGGGGCGCGCCACGTCGCGACCCCCACTGGGGTATGCAGCATGTTTGCATATTTATCAACCGTGCTAAATACCCCCACTGGGGGTCGACCCCCAGTGAGGTGGCGGGCCATGATTCGTTGAAAATCCAAAAAAAAAAAAAAAAACAATTTTTTGTTTTGGCCAATGGGAGAGCAACAGACATGACCCCCAGTGACCCCACTGGGGTCTGAGGCATTTTTGCATATTTATATATATTTCATCATGAAATTAGGTTTTCGATGTGCCTCCTCTTGAGGAGTACACCTTTCCCCAATCGTACGGTCCAGATTTGGTTAGGTACACTACACTCATTCACAAAAATTATTAAAGAAATCAGTAATTAATTTTAGTTGTAAACTCCACAATACATAAGTTAAATCTAAATTATACAATAAAATTTTAAATATTTTTTTGAGTATAAATTCTGCAAACATATCTACTAGATACCTTTATATGGGCGTACTGAATTTAATTAAGATTCAATGAATATCCATTCCAGCTTAACATAATTACCGACACTAGTTGTTTACTTATTCTTGTTTTTGTATTCTTTAATTAACAATACTTTTATCCAAAGGTGAAAAATGGGTATGATGTAAGTAAACTTTTTGTTATGGGCTCACTGGGTTACGTCTATGATTAAAATTTCTGTGATTTTTAAGTACAAAGTTATAAATCTCTTTATTATTATACTTTCATAATTTTATTCATTGAAAGAAAAATCACAGAAAATGAATATGTGGTCTAAATTTGTTATGGATACCACACCTATAATGAATTTGGGCCATATATTATTATTTTTTATTTTTTTCTTTCAAAGTAAATTGTGTGAAATTCATCATGGTGGATTGAACCATCTAATTGGGCCATCGTGTCTATCACCAACCTTATTCTAATTCACAAAAATGTCAGATTAATCCGTTAATCGTAGTCATATTATTTTATTATATTTATTTTCAAAATAATGAATGATCTAATTTAAAAATTATACTTACAATTCAATTTTGTTTATAAAATTTTTTAAGTTATAATAATAAATTATGTGGCTACAATTATCATATTGATATATTTTTTTACACCAATGATCCACATCTAGCAATCTATCAAATTGATCATATCTGATAATAAAAAATGAGGCTTTGGTGGTTTTACATGCTCAACTATACAGTCCGGTTCAAAAAGATAGACAAGAGACAAGTTGTTACATTTTTTTTCTTCTATTTTTCAGTAGGGCATGGCTTCTCTCCAGTCTTTAATCGGACTAGATCGTGTTATTGGGCCCGTAGGGATCCACCACGGGTCTCGTTTTGATAATCTAGATCGTTTAATGTGTAGAACACGTCGAGTACTATAAGCTTGTAAAAAATCACGTTGATTGGATATCGGTAGCTATGTGATCAAATCAGTTTTGTATAAAAAAATAGACGGTGAATAAATTAACGGTTGACAAAAATCTGTTTTGATCACATAGCTATCGATATCCGATCAACGTGATTTTTTACAGGCATATAGTACTCGACGAGTTCTACATATTAACGGTTCAAATTATCAAAATTGGACATATGGTGAACCCTCACAAACTTAATAATACCATCCAGTTCGATTAAGGACTGAACAGGAACCAATGCCTTTTTATAACATTAGCCTTATTGTTTTTACAATGCTAGGTGGATATTAATTGTTAAAAGTTCCCATTAAATATTTTTGTTATTTATTTTTGGTCCAGGGAAAGTTATCATTAACTATTAATACAAAACCAATCAATTTTAAGACAGAAAAGGTCGATGGATAGATACAATTATTGCTTGCTTACATAAGCCATACTTTCCTCTAGAGGACCATATTGGTAATTGACAGCATTTTTTAATAGTTGTGCTTAACTCCTGCCGAATTACCATATTGCCCTTACATCCACAAACATCAATCAGTCGGTGGCTTTCAAATTTATGTTAATAACCATTTCTTCAACATAATACTTGTTTAAGACCATCAAATAAATTTCTATTGTTTTGACATCTTAATTTTGTTTGCAGGAAATATAGGAATTACTCAAAAATTTACCAAGAAAGTGAGACAAAATATAAGAATTATTTGAAAATTTATCAAGAAAGTGAGGGTATGACATAAATTTAAACTTAATTTATTACGCACAACACTAATAAAGAAAGAATTTGATCTGGACAATTTCTATAAAGATAAAAATTCACACTATTATACACATTGTGGGACCCACATGTGAGAGAGAGTGTATAATAATTGGAATCCCTAGCATTGTTGACACAATTTAAATTTTGAATATTTCTGTGAATAATTTTTTTTTTTTTTGAGTTTATAATATTGTTGTTTTGTCTAAAAGCACCAGTACTGCAAAGTGCAAATTGTTTACCTCTTTTTTATTATTATTATACCGTATCAATTATTGGATATATTAAGGGGCAATTTTGACTTTTCAAAGCCCATTAATTACTAGGTTATTGTGGACGGATCACACGAAGCACTACTTGATTACAACACTTTGTCCTCATTTTAGTCTATGATTAAAATTATTGACAGATTGCACGCTTTGTGGTTGAGATTATTTTAATACGTAGTACAAGTGCTAAGAAACAACTAATACACCAAAAAGCGTTTAATAAATGACTAATCTAATAGATGAAAAAAACATTTAACTAAACTCTGGTTTTGATAACAAACGATTTTCACATTTAACTAAAACTCTTCACACAGTGATGAAACTCTGGTTTTTCCAAAAACAACCATGTTGCAAACAAATGATTTTCCAAAAAATCATTGGGATCCCCATCACTTCCTTTCCTCTACAACCTTTTAATTTATACAAAGACAGAGAGTTTTTTTATTTTTATTTTTATTTATTTTTATTTTTTTTGAAGGTGGTTTTTTTAATGATAGAATTATATCGGACTCTATGACGCTGGATTTTGTAAATTGAGGGACATGATTGAATTGCATGACCATGCAGAGGGAGTGAACTGTTGGAGTTCACGAACGAGTAAAACTTGGCGTACGGCCCATAGTTTCTGCCGGAGCAAAGCCGACTCGGATTCGAGACGATTGTTTTCGGCCCGGATGAGTTGGGAGTGGTGCGTCACCAACCGTAGCCGGTTCATCAGGTCCCGGTTCCCTACTCTAAGCCGGTTCGCTTGGTTCCTCAGGTTCTCCAAATGTTTCTGCTTTCGCATGCGGGACCGCCTCGCTGATTCCCGGTTTGATATCATCCGCCTGAGCTTCCGCTCGTCAATATTAGAAGTAGTTGGGCTCAGGCTGGGGTTTGGGTCATCAGAACCGGGGCTAAAATTGTTCATAGTCCGGTTCAGTTCATCAGAACCGGAGTCTGAAGATACAGGTTTTGGGTTTGAGTTTTCCAAACCGGAGTTGGGAAAAAAGGCCGGTTCTTGGTTTTGAAAGGGCAAAAAAGGTTCTTGGAAACCCCAAGCGGTTTCGAAAGGCGGGAATGGGTTTCCGAAAGATCCATCGGAGAAGGAGATGGCCGGAATAGCAGACAACATGACATCCATCGGAGGAGGAGATGGCCGGAAAATTGCTAAAAGATTAAGGGGAGGAAGGTGGGAGGAGGAAAGGGAAGGAACGAAGGGTAGGGGAGAGGCATTTATGGACAATCAGTGTAGTGGTGATAGGTCCCACCTAGTGGTATTTTGGTTATAAAACATGGTTTTATGGCATAGCTTTTTTGTTGGGTGGCAGCACTAATTTGGTGGGTGTGACATAGGATAGTGGGTCCTTTGAGAAAAAGGCTGGCAATTTAACTTTTGTAATAATATTATATTTTTTATAATATAATGTTTATTTTTTTTATTTTTCTAACACAATATTAATGTAACAAATTTCACTATAAATTTATATTAAGTGATAATATATAAACAAAATATTTATATAAAATAATTTGATTTAATGTAAAATTTTCACTTAAAAAAATAAAATTATCACTATATTTTTATGAATCTTTTTTGTATGTGTATATAGATAACAGAGTACTGTAATAATAATAATAACTACCGTTCAAAAAAAAGAGTACTGTAATAACTGAGATAAAATAAAATAATAAAATAAATTCAATTATGTAGCAATACTCTTAAGCTTAGTCACGAAGAAACAAAATCAGTGGGATCCACTGAGGACACCTGTCGAATCCCCATGGGATGAGCATGTGGGCAGCCAATAGTTTGGGAAGTTGCTTACGTGGAGCCACGTTGGTCGGTAGGCTCTGGCTTCGGCTACGGCTCCGACTCCAGCTTGACCAGTTGATGATAGGAATGAATGAATGGGTTTATGGGGGGGTTGGGTGTCACTTTCCTTGGTGGTGGCTCAAGTCAAAAGCTTCAAAGCCACCACTTGCCTTTTTTGTAATTTTTTTTTTTGGTAAAAGAGAAATTGATGTGAAACTCGCGCCCTTTAAAGTGAGGTGTTTTCTATTTTATTTTTCTAGTTATTTATTTATTTTATTTTATTTTTCTAGTTATTTATTTATTTTACATTATTGTTTGAATAAATAACAAATCTTGCTAAATTTTCGGTATTTTTTCAATTTGACTTTCACTATGATCTCCAATTGTGGTAGGACATATAATCGTTCAATCTTTCTCTAAAATCTTGATGCTATGCGGTTGGTTTTGTACAAGAAAATAAGTCATTAGAATCTAGTAAAAGTGTTTGTTGAGTAAACACTTCGACGGTAATCAAAACTCAAATATTGTGTATTACCTTCTCTTGGAAGAAAAACAATGTATATTTCAATGTAAGCACTCTATTTGATCCTAAAAGTACACAAATTGGAGACTGTATCCCAATTCCAACCCATCGGATTGTGTAACACCCTATACAAAATCATCTTGAAGATTTTGGTGGGTAGATTAAGACCTCTCCTTGATGATCTCGTCAGTCCATTCCAATCTAGTTTTATTCCTAGTTGCAAGGGAGCAGATAACGTTATCATTTTACAAGAAGTGATCAATAGCTTTAAACACAAGAACGACAAAAAAGGTAGCTTAGTTATCAAGCTAGACTTGGATAAAGCTTATGACAGAATGGAGTGGAGTTTTATCAAACAAATGCTCACCCATTTTAACTTTCCTCCAATTTGGATCAACTTCATTCTCTTTTGTGTTTCAACTATTGAACTTTCTGTCATTTTTAATGGAGACATCACTAACTCCTGTTTGCCTTCAATAGGCATCCGACAAGGAGATCTTTTATCTCCACACATCTTCATCTTGTGTCTTGAATACCTTGCCACTTCTATCTCTAAAGCTTGTACTGAAAAAGCTTGGAAACCCATCAAAGTGGCTAGGAATTTCCCTCTCCTCTTCCACTTCTTCTTTGCTGATGATATCATTTTGTTTGGTGAGGCTTCGAAAACTAATTTATGTTGCATCTCGGGCCAAAAGATTAGTGCTTCAAAATAAAAAATTCTTTTTTCTGCTAATGTTGAAGAAAATTAGCGCGCCCATCTAACCAATATCCTACAATTTCCCATCACCCATTCCATTGGTAAATATTTGAGATGTCCCATTATCGAATAAAGACCCAGCAGAAACACTTTTAATTTCATCATCGAAAAGATTTAAGGCAAACTCTCGGATTGGAAAGCTAAAACCCTATCCCTTGCTAGTAGAAGCACGCTCATTAAAGCCGTTAACTCTGCCATTCCCGCGTATGTCATGCAATGCCACTCTCTTCCTAAGTCTGTGACCAACATGGTAGACAAACTCAATAGGGATTTCTTATGGAGATCTACTCCAAACCACCGTAAAATCCTGCTCTTAAATGGAGTGAGGTCACCAAACCAAAAGATCTTGGTGGTCTAGGTATCCACCAAACTTACCTCACCAACCAAGTTTCTATGGTGAAATTCAATTGGAGGATCCAGGGGGAAAAATATACTCTTTGGACAAAAATTCTCAAAGCCAAATACTCTCAGAGTTCCAAAGTCTCCAGTAGGCAATCTCATATATGGAGAAGCATTAGGAAAGGCAATGATTTGTTTAGAGAAAGCTCCCGCAAACTTGTTAGGAATTGTAGCAACATTTCTTTTTGGCTTGACAATTGGGTGGGTGATGGAAACTTTAGAAGCCTCATTCAAGGCCTATTCACCCCCATGGACCTCAATCTCAAGGTTAGTGATTATTGGGTGGGAAATCAATAGAATTTTGATTGTCTTTCCACGATTTTTCCTAACACCATAAAAACCAAAATTTCTAACACCACTCTTCAATGGCATGAGAATATGGAGGATAACATCACCTGGAATTACTCTAGAAATGGTGAGTTCTTTAACAAATCAACTTACCAACTTGCACTGAAACCTATCTCCTCGCAGCCCTTCTAGAACTAGAACTGGGTATGGCTGTTACGACCCAAACCCGCCCCTATGGGTTTAGCGTCGTAACCGGCCAGTAATCCTTGGATTACCAAATGCCTCTGAATAAAATAACTTATAATTAGGGGCTACAGAAGCAAATATAGAAACATACATAGTCCATTGAGCTGTGGAGACATATATGTGACATAAATTTTAAACTTTATATACATATACGTGACATCATGATGCAGTAGTCTTACATTACGTTTGTTACAGATATAGCCAAAAAGGACTTAGTCCAATATACAGATAACATAAATCATGTTCAATACCCAAAAGAAGACGAGGTCTTAAACATAAGCCATTTAAACTTGACTCGCTCACAAAAGGGAACCGACTCGGAGGCACAACGGATGGCTGACAAAATATATACGCCAGGTCCTCAATTCTGAGCCTGGTCACACGCTTGGTCACCTATATACATAATATAAGTAATGAACGAAAGCCTAGTGAATAACAACAGAGTAAAGGGTTTAAATGAATAATGTCCATCACAATTATAACTTCAAATCTCTTATTGAATAGAAGCATAACCATATTCGTATCAGAAACAGAATCATAAACATATTCATATCAGAAACAAAATCATAAACATATTCATATCATGAGTGGTGTATCCGTTAGCATTAAACATATCTCTTTGGTCAAGCTTATTAAGTTCCACATTAGAACCTCCAGTACCAGGTAACATATCTCATACATGGGCCACGGTATTGTTTCTCTCGAGCGAGGGCCTGTGCCATGGTATTCTTTCCCTTGGGTGAGGGCCTGGGCCATGGTATTGTCTCCCCCGGGCCAGGGCCTCATGACCATAAACCACAATATTTTATCCCCTAGACGAGGGCCTCTGCTAAGAATACCACATAAGCATTTCAAAGAAGTGGATCATCATTCATGTAATCACATATTAGCCTTGTGTATTATTCAAAAACAGTTCATATCATATCATAATGTTCAGAAAGTATTTCATATTGAACATAGCTTTACTAAGTTATTACTCAGAGATAGCCTCACAGATAGCTTGGCAGCAAACCAATGGATCAGCCGCTCACGACGCGTGACCTACACCAATCATAACAGATACATATACTGAAACACACACTTGGATTGTACATAACTCATTTCATTATGTTCTTAGTGTGTTTCTAGCCTTCACTCTCATTATTGTGTCTTAATCTTGGCCTAGGAATGCCTAGGATTCAATGAGGATGCCAAAATGCATTTGAAAACACTTAATCAAACTTGCTGAAAACATGGGTCCCGTTCAAGCGCAACTTCCTTTGCTCGAGCGGATATGCAAACATGTGAGGGGCCGCTCGAGCTCAACTTCCTTCGCTCGAGCGATCTGCAAACTTTTGAAAAAGTACTGATTGTGTGATTTTCATGCTCGACAGTCGCTCGAGCGTGAGACTCAGGTCCTTGCTGAAACGCAACTCTTGTCGCTCGAGCGGTTTGCAAAATATGAAACTTCTGGAAGCTTGCATTTCACGCTCGAACAGACTTCTAGTTACTTGAGCGGAGATACAAAAACAAAGGTGGCCGCTCGAGCGCAGGATCTATCGCTCGAGCGGAGAAGTCAAATTCTGGAATTTCGAGATTCACCTCCAAGCTTCTAAACTCATATTCAAAGCTACAAAACTTATCCTTTTGGGCCAAACACTTGAGAAAACACATTTAAACTTGGAAAACATTGAGAATTCATGATCATTTTACGAAATCAAAGCCCAAAAGCATGCCAAATGTTCAAAACTAAGCTTAATTCTTTGAAAAACATAACATGCATGTATTGTCTTGACTTCAAAACTTCCAAAACATGATCAATTGGTATGAAATGGTATTGATCAAGATGAATTCTCAAAATAAAAGTACGATGGGCACATGCATGGGAGAATTCTTTGAAATCAAATTCAAATTGTGTTCAAATGGACATGCATGTATGAGATGCTCCTCTTTTCTACCTCCTAGTTCAATTCTTGCTTAACTTAGCTCACTTCTCTTGAATACATGTATGGAATGACTTAAACTCAAACCAAAAGGTTGAATTCTTACCTTAGATGTTCAATTATGCTCTAGAGTGCTAAAATCCTCCAAATTCTCTTCCAATGTTTAGCAATGCCTTTCTTTCCTTCCTTGTTTGTTGAATTCAATTCTCAAGTTTTCCTTTCACTCTCTTCTCATGCTTTTGGGCTCATAAGGATGAAGATGAGATGTGTCTTAAGTGGTATATAGGCCTTATATAGGCTTGCTTAGTGGTCTTTATTTAATTTAGCTTAAACTAATCATAGTGGCCTTAATGAATTTAATTTAATCGTTCCGAATCGATTTTCAATTGTACCTATCACAATGTTCTAAAAATTCCA